TCTTGGTGTTAAAAGTACTACCCTGTTGTTTGTATAACAGATTAGTTTGCCAAAAAAAGAGAGGAAAAACTACTAATAGCAAAAAGGATTACTCTTTATAAATATTACTGTTAAAGAATGTCATTTAATTCAGTGCTCAAATAAATTATTTTAAAATGTATTTTATTACCATCATTTATTAAACAATAAGGAGACATTTTGGCTGCAAATAGTGATAACATCTCTATAGAACTGTATTTGGATAGTCATTTTTTTTCCTGACACAGTAGATAATTAGGAATTATAAATTATACTTACACTCTTAAGCATGTTAGCTGGAGAGTATATCAGACTGTATGTTGTTCTTGGTGCCAGTTCAGGTTTTGATTTTCAGAAATCCTTTCACAGAAACGCCTGATGAGTTTCAGTTTCTAGCAGCAAAGTAGAGGTATATTACTCACTTGAGAGATTTAGATGAAGACCTTGCCACCTGGTTACGTTTTTGAGTGAAATTTACTTCATGTTTGTAAGTGAGAAGGTCATTATGGTCAGCTGTTTTGCTGGCATCTTAGCCTTGTTCCTAGTGGTCAGGTAATCTCATTTCAAATGTTTCCTGCAAAAGTGGTGATACAAATTGTTTAGCAAGGTCACTGGTATTTTAGCAGGTAGCTAAAATAAATTTATTTTAGCAGGTAGCTAAAATAAATCGGCTCTGTTCATCAGATTTGGTTCTTCCATAGGAAACCTGAAGTATGTTGACAGGGTAGCACAGCACCTTTCACAGACATGAGTAAACCTGTGTATGATATGTTGTAAATGGGATATGATAACGCAGAGCTCTGGGTCTGTCCTCACAGGCTGCTTCATAAACATTTGGGTCTCTTCCCTTGCGATGCCTCACCAGCACAAGCAAGGTATTTTTCAGCCTCTGTGTCCCAGAGACTCGGTGGAGGAACCGTAACTCTGCTAGTACGCTAGGCCATGCAGAAGTAAGGTTGGCCACTTCGGTTTCTTTAGATGCCCTGTCACAACCTGCATCTTTATTTTGTACTTTGTAAAATAATAATAAAAACTGTTGGGTCTCTCTGTCTTCCCTCTGTATTGAAGTAGTTAATTACCAAAGATGTAAGCAACCAACATGTATCATTTGGTAGAATATGCAGTCCCACTCTGCTGAACTCTTGTTAACCCGGATGCCTGGTTAAATGCCACTGGATTATAAATTTGAGGTTATTACTGTTCAGATTATCCACGATAATAGCCACAGATAATATGTCGACATACTCCAGGAGTATGTCTGTGCAGACAGGTGCAGACAGATGCAAGCTTGCTCTGCCCAAACTCTGAGCAGGCTGCGTGTGAGCCAGTTCCAGTCTGGAAGCCATCAGCATGTTGTGTGGCACTATGCCCAAGCTAAAACACCTTGTCTTTTAGATAAATGAGGCTTTACAACTTCTGAGCTGAAGCTGACTCACATTCAGGCGGCTTCAAGAGTACTGGTGGTGTGAGTTTGCATTCAGCTGCCCTTCTGTGCAGATGTATTCGTCATTCTGCATTGCTGTGGAAGGACTTTGGTAGAAATCCCCATCCTTGTATTCTTGTGCAGTCGTTTCTCAACTTTTGTAGGTTTAAGGCGTCCCAACTCCCCTTACATTTACTATAAAGATAAGGATTAAAAAATATATTGACAATAATTTTGGGGAGCAAATTCAAACTTGTGTAGGTACTGTGGGTTTGATTCAAATCTTAGAGCGCCTCAGTGGAGCACTTATGGAATCATATGACAGCAGCTATTTCACATGACTATGAACCGTTATTTCCTGGAAGTGTTTGGTATGAATCATTATTTCGTGGAATTAAGTGTTTGGTTATGTATTTTCTGAAGTATTTTCCCAAGATAGGAGAAGTGATGTACTGAATGGAATTACCCTGTGAGCCCCAAGGCAATAGAGAAAATAGATTTTATTAGCTTTCCCTTGCAAAGACATTCTAATAACTTCTGGTTGGCTTTCATAATCCCTCAACGCCATCAGCTGAGAAAAAGCATGCTAGGGTCTGCAAAATCTCGTGGGTTTTGGGATGCAGAATCCAGAGCGCAGATTTCTCAAAGGCTGTTAACTGGCTCCTCTCGCCCGTGGAAGGTTTTATCTCATCTGCTACTTTAAAGTAGGGCTAGAGAGTGTTGTGCAGTTGAACAGTTATGACCACAAGAACGTGTGATAATTTTGGCTGGCAGTACAAAAAAGATGGATATGAGTGAATCCCATTATCAGATGTTGAAATGATACCGAATAATTCAGTAGTTCTGACTCTTCTTACTCAGAAGTCAGGTTTGTGTTTTCGCTGCCAATTTTGAGGCAGTGAAATAATCTCAACTTTGGAGAAGTAAAATTGCAGTATAGCTTCATGTAGTTTTCAAGACAATTTACAACTTCTCTTCTGTTTGTTGCTTTTTATGGCTGTAATATGCGTTACATATAATTAAATAACATTATATATCATTAGAAACCTGGTAAATGGCAAGTATTTACCATGAAATTTGCTATTAGATGAGCAGACATATTGTATTGAGTCAGTCTGGGATGGAGTTAACTTACATAACTTATGAATTCATCTAAATATATTTAAAAACCTTGGAATTTCTGAGATGTACATTTCTTTACTGAATTTTCATTGTGTGTTGGGTTTGTGATAGTTATGTCAATGTTTATCTTCAGATATTAAATATCTTTAGACTGATAATTATGATATAAATAGATTTATATTTTGCTGTTTACCAGAGGTACCTACTTTACAGTAATGAATGCCATGAATTAAAGATTAGGCATTAATTGCAGACAGGCCAGATCTTTGTCCTACATATCCTGAAAACCAGAGCAAGATTGTGAAACCTCTTTCATTGCTTGATGCAAGTTAAAAATTGGAAAATGTTCCTTGATGCAAACCACTGGAATATTGTCAAAACTTCTCACTAACCTTTCTTTGTAATTTTAATACAGTCTGCTATCGGATAACTGTAGAGGAACTAACCATATCTTATTTAATTTAGAAGAGTATTTTATGTAATAATGCAATTTGCTGTTTCTTTGGCTTTAAAGTCACAGAATTCCTGTTGCTGACACTTTCTGTCAGAAAGGCTGTGTTATCACCTCTGGAAAAAAACCCATCTTCTAGGGTTAGGACACCTTTCTAAAACACAAAAGTACAGACTTGTATGTAAAAGGTACTGTGAAGAAAAACTGGAATTGTGTTACATTTTTCTTTCTGTTTGATCCAGGTGCTCAAAAGAGGGCATATTTAGATTTGATTTAGTGCATAAATTCTCTGCTTTCTGCAAGGTGAGAGGAATTGTTGAATACAGTAGCAAATTGGCTTTCTTCTACTTCAGTGCATTAAAAAGTTAAGATTTTAATGAAAATGTTATGGAATTGATATTATATTTGAGCACAACACATGATAACACTGACTTTTACAAATTACTACGTAGCCAGTTTTATGTGCTATTATGAGGTTTTTAGAAAACAATATACCTATATCCATAACGATAAATTGACCCTTAGATACATTTTTTATCTTTAATACCTGTTATTTAAAATAATAGCTTTCATCTAAATTAAGACTGTTGATGACTTATGCCATCCTCTTTTAAACATCATTTAACTGTGGTTAGAATGAAGAAGACAGAATAATAAATGAGACTATTTAAGTGTATGAATAAAATGCAACTGTTTATCTAAAATTGATCCATGTCTCATAACTTTGAGAATAAAATAAATGGGTTGTTTTTCTTTGACTCCATCAGAAATATTGTCCTATAAATATTTACATTAATACATTAGGAATTTCGAAATAAAAGTGAAATAGCTTTCTTGACATTTTTGCTGGCAAGCAAAGGACTATGAGAATTCCACACTTCTAGCTCACCTTGACTGTATGAAGTTCATGAGCCATATTCTTACATTTATTAGCAGTTGGAGCCTAAGGTTAATTTGTGACTCATTTATCCATGTTTATTTTTTAATGATTGATCTTATATAGTTCTGGAAAAAAGGCATAGGCCATAACATATTTTGTTCTAAGAGCTATTAGGTATTATATGCTTTTTCTTGGCTGATAAGTCATAGTCTGTCATTGAATGCATTGAAGAAGATTAATATATTACTTTTATTTAGGAAAAAAAGGGACAGATTACGGCCTTGCCAACGTGAACATTTTAGAGGATAAGAAATAATAAGATACTGCAAGATCTGTGCTTCCAACTGCATGTTGTAAAAGTTACTTTTGTCATACGTCCTCACAAACTATTTACGATGTGACCTTGCTAGCTTCTATGTAATTCTATATGTGTCTGAGTGCTGTAAGTTTCTGTTTGCTTTATGGAGATTGAGGGGTCAAGATTCCAAAGCAAAAGATTCCTCATGAAAAATTAAATCAAGGAACTTCTTTTCTAGATGTTATATTTTACTTCTAGAATTATAGTTTTGTGGTGACACAATGAATAATAAAAAATCCATAGGAAAACATTTAAGTAAATGTGAGGAATATGTCCAGAGATTGCTGTACTGAGTTCTCTAGGGTGCCAAATTAAGAGGATAATATAAAAATATGTTTTATCTGTATCACTTTTCTTTTTCTTATTCAATTTGTATGATATGAATAATTCACAACAGATTTATGTAAGATATTCTGGGATTCAGAAAAGTGAATTAAAAAATATAAATACCAAAGATTTTAAAAGCAAGACACTTCACAGAAATATTGCTAGTTATCATAGTGTAGTAAAATAGACTGAGAAAAATGTTTTATGAAATAGTTAAATAATGAAAAATCTATAAAGAGGACTTTCTTGGCTAATCAGTTTATTTCATTACTTGATTAGACTTGACAATGTTTGCTATTTAAAGAGTGTTCAGAAGGTAGTCGATTGTTCTAGTGGTTAAAAGAAACATCTCATGTAGTAGATACAGTCGTATATGCTCTGTTTTAATGACAATATAACAATTTTTATTTTATTTTATCAGACAGGAAGCTTTGCTTGCTGCAATTAGTGAAAAAGATGCAAATATTGCCTTGCTTGAACTGTCGGCTTCAAAGAAAAAGAAGACTCAAGAGGAAGTAATGGCCCTTAAACGAGAGAAGGACAGATTAGTACATCAGTTAAAACAGCAGGTGGGGAGACATTCATTTTCATACTTTCATGGCAACAGAAAATTGGCATTAGTTGTTCTATTTTACTCTAATCTCATATTGAAAGTCTTCAAGCCAAGTTTGACATGTGACAGCAGTTACGAAAGGTAGGAGGTCTTCAATGTAAGTGTTTATTGCTTCTCTGTTGTTGCTAAGTATTTAGCTGCACGTTTGCTTGGCTCACATTGTATGCAGCCAATACACTTTCTGTTTTCCCTCCTCATGTAGCTCCCAACCTTCTTCATTATGTGTGACAGAGGAGAGCAGATGCTCTTTGCTGTAAAGCAAGATCTATCCGTTCTGTTGACTCTTTCTAACCTTCTTCTGTTCAGTTATTTGCTTATCTGTTGTAAAATAATTGTGTTTTCAGAAGGTTCCAGGCTTTCTTGAGGGGTTATCTGGAAATCGTGATTATCCTTAAAATAAATTCTCAAATCACTAAAAATCAACCTGTCTTCAACACTGTAAGCCATTTGAGGTTTTAATAAAAACACATGTAGTTACAAACCCTAGAAATAGATTTTATCACAGGGAAGTTTAATTTACATTCTGCTTCATTAATGAGGAAAATAATCACACTAGACACAGTGCACGTGTACCAGACACAGTACATAGGTCTCTTGTCTGTCTAATTAAAATGTTTAAAACTCTGCATACTGTGCAGTGGCTACTCCCCCGATTTTTGAAAGGCAATAATCGTAGCCAGAAGAGGTACTGTAGGCAAGAGGACAAAGGTTGTTCAGATAACCTAGGTACTTAAGACCTGTGCTGTGTCCTGTATGTTGTTAAACACCTTTCCTCTTTCAGAATAGGTGAAAAAGATGAGAAAGATGTTTTCAGACCATGTCTGAAGGTGTTGTAGCTGATGTTTTCCTTTGTGTGACATTACTGAATTCTGTGATTGTTGCTTGAGGAGGAGGAGAATACCATTGTCAAAATCACTCTGGTCTCAGCCTGTCAACGTAACCACTCTGCTGTCAGGCAGTGTGCCACTTTACATGCCATGTTAATAATGTTTAGGACATACTGCATAGTCAATGCTGTGATTCTTTATTCTGAATCATGCCTTACATACTGTAGAACTTGTGCACTCAGTTACAGAAAGTTAAGGAGAACCCTTGCTGCTATGCTAAATTCCCAATAGCTCTGACCTCATGCATCTAATCCGTATAGCTTTTTCCCACAGATCTATAAAAATAGGAGACAGCCCCTGAGCATGAACTTACCATCCATTCGTGATGCTGATTTCATTACAGACATTCCAGCCAAGTACCTGTGTTCCAGCCATGATGCACTCATGTCTCAGGTCAGTCAGCTGGCCAGGAGACGTTTCACACAGATTTTATATGCTAGATAGGCAAACATGCTTTATGCTTTTTAGTATTTCATCCTACCATGCTGCATCAGAGCGGACGATGTTACAGTCAAATAATTTTAGGGATTTTTGTTTTGGTTTGCTTTGGAAAAGAGAAGGTGGATATCTTTTAGCTATCTTCTTTTTTCACCTTTCTCTTTCGTGACTGAAGAGTAAATGAATACACTGCTTTGCCATGTTCCATGATACCTGTTATGGATATTTTGAAAATGTTCATCAGAGTCTTGGGCAAACTGTGGGTTTTTTTATTGTTTTGTTTTGGTTTGGTTTTGTTGGTTTGGGTTGTTGTTGTTGGTTTTGTACCTTTAAGCTATGGCTGAAAAGTGTTCAAAACATTCATAACTTTCTTCAGACAGAGTGAAGGAACAGCCGAAGAGGATAGCTAGAGAGGCATTGTTTTGGATAACTTCAGTTAGATTTGTAACCAAATACTTCAAATACCTCCGTTATTTATAGTGATAAAGATCTTCAGTAAAGCTATTTAACTAGATTAAATTGATGCCAAAATAATCTCCCTGTTATCTCAGACACCACAGAAAAAAGAGACACCAGGAACAGGAATGTGGTTTAACTAGGTCACCACTTTATTACACTTAAGAATTATCTGATAATAGAGGTTGTAGAGATCATTCATACTTCTTTAATCCCTTTGGGGAGAACCACTGTCAACCCCCAAAGCTTTCACATGTGCATTCAACACAAAGGCTCGTTAGTGCTACTCTTCCATGCTATGATTGTGCTGGGCTGGGGTGGGGGGAAGTGATGGATTCCCCACTGTGTGATATATCAACCCTGCTCCTCAGTTTCTTTGAGAGATGACATCTCCTGATCTATTTCTGACTCACGAGAACTTCAGTGAATGATGAACTATAACATCAATTTTTTTCTTATGGCCTTATTTGTCCCATCCCCCATTTACACAGCTGTTACACTGCTGAAAGAAAGAAGTAAAAAAAAAGCCCAACTTCCCCAGCCTAATGTGATCATGATCAGAGAGATATTTATAAATATTAGAAGATGACTCACTAGATAATGTTAAACACTAGGCCCCCAAATCCACTCCTGTTCTATACTGTGGGAAGAATTTTTGCTTTGAGAGGCAAAATAACAATATGGGCAATGATAAAAATCTGTATTCCCTTCATGTGCCTCCACAATAGCGAATTTATTTTTGATGTATCTACCTATCAAGCAGGAAGCCTTCTGTTCATGGCTACAGGAGGCTGAGAACTTATCAAGACAGCAGGGCAAGGGATGAGAAATGCAGACTGTAAAGAATCCAGGGGCTTTCTTTGTATGTTGCTCCTTTTCGTGTTGCTCCTTACAAAGGTTCTCTGTTTTTCAGTTACTGATGGGAAAGCTAGGCTGCACATGAAGCACGGTGGCTGAAAATCTTAGTAGCAGAGCATCAGTGAGAGTAGGCTTTCCCTGTTCCACAAAGAGGCATCAGCTGATAAGAGTAAATGTGTTGCCGACAAGCAACTCCTTTCTCCTTCAGCATCTGCAATTCAGACATTTATTCTGATATATTTATATCCTAGAGGAAGTCCCATTCTTGATTCGCACATCAAATAATGCATCTCCTGAAATAATCTCCTGAATGTAAAAAATACTGTTGTAACTGTTCTGTGTTGCTACAAAATTGCTATTATTAAACGTGCATCAGTTTTAGAAGGTTTCTTCATTAAATGTAAAAGTATTTTCTACTGTGTTTCAGAAGGAAGTTGGTTTACTCCACTTATGTTTCTGTCTTCCTTTTATAATTCCTGTGCTACTTCTAATGTTCTCCAAATTTTGCTGAGAAACGTTCTCTTCAGAACCAGACTTTTATTTCACCAGTGTGTTAGACCTGCAAAACAGAAGTTGCAGTGTAAAGCAGCACTTAATATGAATTATGTCTTGAATTATGTAGCCAAGCTATTGGGAAATAGTTTGTAATTATTTTAGAGTGCTAAGTGAAGTTAGAAATTTGCTTGAACATAATTTCACCTTGCCTGGAAATCTTACATGTACTGTTGTAGAAGCGTGCAAAGCTCATGTAGAAGCAATGTCCTAGAGTTTCTTAGACAATCTTGTTATATTTTCCGCATTATGCTGCAGAGTTCATGGGGTGATGCTGCAATTGAGCTTCTAATTGCATCTGCTCTCTTTATGTCCTCCATGTCTTCTAAGAACATCTTGTTTTTGAAAGACTTGTCATTTCAGTAAAGAAGCAATAATTTGAAATTAGCCTTCAGTGAGGATGAACTTTACCATTTGAAATAGAAAATATTATTTCAAGCAGGTTTTATTTTGTGATCTTTGTAGACAGGTGAATCACTTTGACCTAAATAAGCTGTTGTGAAACATCAACCGTCATGCTGCATCATCATATATCTGACAGTTTGATTTGCTTTTTGCTTTTGTTTGCAGTTTAGGGAGTTTCTGTCTCAGAAACTCTCTGAGTCTCTCTTTCTGCTGCTGTCTCTTTCAGTTGCATTGTAGACTTTGTCATGTAGTTGATAAACTCCAATTCCATATTTCTAGCCATTTCAAATCATGTTGTACTATGGATTATTGCAAGGGATAGTACCTTAAAAAGCTCAAGGTTATGCTCCAAGCCTAGGATGGTGCTTTGCTTTTGCTGTTGAGGTGGTGGCTTCAGTGTCTGAGGAAGGATTGCTGTAGCTTGGAAAGTCCTCTGCTGATGTGAACAAGTAAATACAAAGGGCTTTTTTCTGAGAGAGCTACAACTGTTTCTTGAGAGAGAGAGAAGGAGAAGTATGTATGTGAATTCATCAGAGACCAAGATTTCTGATTGTAGCCATGAAATGCCCAGGAATATCCTCTTTGAAGCGTCACTGTCTTCCTCTGGAAAATCTTGTTGATGAAAGTAAGTTTCCTAGAGTCAGAATTTTTTTTTTCCCCAAAAAAAATGTGAATACTCCTCCTTAATATTTCTGTGTGCAGGAGAGGGCCAACTACTGCTTTTTCACCTAACTCTGATGAGGCCAGTGAGGGTCTCCATTTAAGGGAAGGAGTTAGAATCATAGAATCATAGATGGAGTTGTGGAGTTTTAATGGATATACTTCATAACATTTATAGAATCGTAGAATTGTTTTGGTTGGAAGAGCTTTAAGATCATCAAGTCCAACTGTTAACCTGGCACTGCCAAGTTATCACAAAACCATGTCCCTCAGCACTGCATCTGTACGTCTTTTAAATACCTGCAGGGACGGTGACTCAACCACTTCCCTGGGCAGCCTGTTCCAATGCTTGACAACCCTTTCAGTGAAGAAATTTTTCCTAATATCCAATCTAAACCTCCCCTGGTGCAACTGGGGGCCATTTCCTCTTATCCTATCACCTGCTACTTGGGAGAAGAGACTGACACCAACCTCACTACAACCTTCTTTCAGGTAGTGGTAGAGAGTGATAAGGTCTCCCCTCAGCCTTCTTTTCTCCAGGCTAAACAACCCCAGTTCCCTCAGCCGCTCCTCATAAGACTTGTGCTCTAGACCCTTCACCAGCTTCGTTGCCCTTCTTTGGACACGCTCCAGCACCTCAATGTCTTTGTTGTCGTGAGGGACCCAAAACTGAACACAGCACTCGAGGTGGGGCCTCATC